CTGAAGCACCTGCTCTCACAAACATGCTGGAGAAAATGGCTGTGTGCGGTCAGATCATGACACTTGACCTAGAGCTAGCACAAGCATGGAGGGCCCGACGGTCCGATGTCAATTTATGACGTGCCAGGCGACCGTAGCAGCTGCCAGCCACTTCCCGTTCCACCCGCCGGGCACCTGCGTGTCGACAAAACTTGGGTGTGCTTTGCAGCTCCTAAACCCAAGGCTGGAGCTGCCCTCAGCCGCTAAACTAAGCACCCTCTACTGGCGGCGCTTCCAAGCGCCTCCCAGCCGAAGATGAGATGGCAAAGCGGGTTCGGCCTCGCTTTATCAGGTGGTGGTGGTCGTGGTCGTGGTCGTCGTCGCCGTAGCAGTAGGACGAGGAGGAGGAGCAGCAGCAGCAATAACAACGGCAGTCGCAGTAGAATTAGCAGTCGTCGTCCTCCTAGCCACCGCCGTCGTCGTCGTGGCAGTGGCACTATCGGCCCTCATTACGTTGCCATGCAGTTTGCTGTGGTTCTAGCCTTTTCAGAAGGATTCCGACCAGCTTTTGGCCGGTCACTGGGAAGGCCAACTCAACTCAACTACCATCACTACCAAGACGGCCATTACCCTGATCAGCCTGGTAAGACAACAGAATAGCAACACCAGGAAGAAACTTCATGCCGAAGTTGAGAAGGTCAGTCAGCAGCTTCAGTCCAAGCTCCAGGTCGAAGGGAGACGAACAGAAAAGCAGCTCTTCGAACCAAAAGCTGCGATTCGACTCTGAACTGCCCGGACTGAGAATCTGAACCTCGACGCCAACGCAGGAGCCTGAAGCTTAGGGCCTCGGGCTAAGGATTCACGGCGTCGGGCCTCCAACCCTCTCCCCCGTGCCCGTGCTGGGTCGCTCTGCCGGCTCATCCGCAAATCCCCACCGGTGTACTTCGCAGGCGCCATGTCTGCACCTCACCAGAGGTCCGGGCAGGGGCTCTCACCACACCCTCTTCGAACCCTACAGCCCAAAGCGATTTTTGACTGCGGATGTTTGCCCGGACAAGGTTTGGGGTCCAGGATGCGGGGTTTTGGTGCGCAGGGCTTGGGGTGAGCTTGCAGGAACAAACTGCTTCTCTCGACCCGAAAGAAGCCTTGCTCAAGACGACCAACAGCCCTGAACCAGCAACTGTAAACGTTTAACAAGCCCGAAGCTCCAACCCCTACTTGAACATTCCTGAAAGCCCTAAACCCAAGACCAGAAGCCTTCCAAAATGCACGAAGGCAGCGCAGCTCGGGCCCCTGAAGCGGCTGAGCTCCGCAACGTGGCGACAAGCCCTCGGCCGCCGGCGCCTCAGAAAAGCTTGTGCCTGGCGGCTCAGGAGATTACCCTGTACTATCTTATCTTAGCTGTAATACAAAAGTATGCAACTCGCCCAGTGTAGTATCGTATTGCGAAGGTTTAGGGGACTACACTGCTGCATGTGTTTGATCCACTATACGCTTGCATAAAAAGAATAGGATATAGCGCATTGTTGTAAGGTACCTGGCTCTGGAATTGTTCAAACGTACATGGAATTTTTCAAGCCCGGAACCCAAAGCCCATGCTGGCGGGCAATAGCACCAGAATCTGCAGCTTAGTATACCATGCAACAATAAGGCATAAGTATCGCATGGTAAAAAATTCTAAAATGTAGTATACGATATTATACCAACGGAAGGTTTACTATAGTAGCACCGGGATCCGCTAGGGCGCAGAGTTCCGGATCAGGCTGTTGGCTCGTCACAGCTCGAAGTCAAGGCCCAAGCGGATGTTGTTGGGATTTAGGTTTTTTTTTTGAACCCCTTTTTCCCTGATGCAGCGGTACGCAGCTTCAAAGAAGGCCTAGGATTTAGGGGTTTAGGGTTTAGCTTCTGCTTTGTCCCGGCCCTTTGGCAGATGGCCTTGCTCGGCAAAGCTGCGAGCTGTCCACTTGCAGAGCTCATCGAAAGCAACGTTTACCCCGACCTCGTTGTGATCATCGTCTACGACCAAACTTTGAGTCCGTTAAATCACGGTGTATGATGGGGTTCTCCTGCCTATACTGCAGTTTTGTGGTATATTCTAATGTGACCAGATTTGTAGATTAGAAAAGAACTACAAGGGCATCATACTTTGTGCTCTGTCTTTAGCTTGAGGTTTGCGGTTAACATAAAAGCTCGATCCTTGCACCTGCCTTGTAGAATACCTCACGCTCCAGACCCCCAGCTCAACACTACAGAATGCCGGAGTCCGAAACCCGAAACCAGCGTAGGCCAAATGGAAGTCAGATCCCGAAACCGCTCAGCGACACGGAGCGGACCCCAACTGAGCGACCCGCGACCGTGAGCTTGTCTGGCGTGCACTCCCTGCTTTGCAGCTTCGCTGAATTAAAGAAAGGAACAGGTTCAGGAAGCTTGTTTCGGGGCGTGTGCATGTCATGTCTGAGGTCTTGCAATCACCATGCACCGGAACATCAGCGCACTTTGGAATTGCTTTTTCAGCCGCTAGGTAGGAAACCCTGAGCCCGAACAGTAGACTCCGAATCCTGAAATTTGGACGTCGGAAGGAGACAATATCGCTCGCTCCTGCACAGGCTCAAAATGTCTGCAAAGACTGCACGTAGGTGTGAGTAAAGGCACTGAAGAACCTAAGGGAAAAGACACTGACCTTGCCTGGCGATGAACTCGCGGATGCTTTCCGCAGAGCACTTCGGCAAGTCCTGTCGTCACTGTAGTCAGCAGGGCGAGCTTCGGCGAACTCAGTGCTTGCAGCGGGTCTCCCCGGAATGATTTGAGCTGCGCTTCGATCCGGAAAAACGCTCATCTCAAAACCATAAGCCCATGTACCCTAAAGGCCCTAAAGCCTGCGCACCCTTTCCTTCTGGAGCATCACCCTAGGCACCACCTGGAGTCAGCGCAAACTCTTCGAGTTTGCGTAAGCGAGCCTTGGATGGCACCAGTCCGAACGCCGAGAAGAGACCCTGCTGTTTAGGCTCCAGACAGACTGTTTAAAGGTTCATGGGCCATGGGTGGCTACAAGTAAAGTGGAGTTATGAGAACCTTTGTTGGGGTTTGTAAGTAGCAGTATTACAGCTACAGCTGGCCCGAATTGTAGCCACGCTTCCTAAGCCTCGCGAGGCCTCTCAGCACTCCCGAGCTGAAGAGGCTCTTCAGCTCTCGCTCAGGGCCGCTCCATCTCCTGGTGCCCTCCGGCGAATAACTACTGTAGCTAATTCAGAACTCACATCCGGTGCGGGGCATAGCTCGCAGCATATCTTACGTAAATAGACGTTCTGCGCCCGGAGGTGTGTTCCATCTGACTCAGCAGTGTCCCTTGGGGACCCCCGAGTTGCCTAAGATCCTGCTGTAATGAAATCTAAATCTAAAGTTTAGTGGCCAGCAGGAGGGTTCAGGAGTTGACCGCATGTTTGAATTACGGTTTGGAGTTTGGGTGCTGCGGACTGCTGTAAGTCCAAGACTTCGGATTGACGTCCTGGAGGCTTTTTCGTTCACTGCTTTGGTCGCCAGTAACAATATAGAGGCACAACGATTAAAGAAGGCTTTGGGGCGTGCTATACTGTGGTTCGGGCCAATAAGACAAGACTATTGCAGGCAGACCCTTGCGTTAGTCATTGGAAGCCTGGTTTCAGGACTTTGGGGTCTAAACCAGGCATGTAAGGCTCCTCAATGCTAGTTGCTTACAGTAGGGTTCTGCAGTTTGGGCTGCGGGTTACTCTCTTCGGGCTTCGGGCTCTGTTTCTTTCGGGAGGACTCTGTCTTAATAATTCGCGCCTACAGAGTTTAGGGTTTGGGGCTCTGGGTTTTGGGGAGCAGAAGCCGGAAGCTCCCTTCACTGGACGTCTTCCGGCTCTCCATCTGCTCGCAGATGCGGCGCCTGGGCATGCCACGTAACTCAGATCTTCATCGTGGCCGTCCGCATATAGTGAGAAACACGGAAAACGGGTTGTAGTTAATTGTTCTGGGGTTGGTCAACCCTCTACTCAGACAATACATACACCGTTTAACAATACCAGTCATCAGGAACACAGTTGAGTGTACCGATTTTCCGGTTATATGATGGACTACTGACCTTTGTAGCCCCAGGTCGCAGGGTCTACGCTGTAGTCTCTAAAGTGGTACATTCATAAGGGGATCTGGGCCGAATATTTTTATTCGGAGTATGAAAGCCCCGTGCCTCGAAACCCAAACCCACAATGTTCTTCTGGCGAGCGCATGCCTCAGCCAAAACCGTGATGTTGCAGACCAGAGATCTGAAGACCCCTCAAACTCCGAAGCCCCAGCCCTCAAACGCCCTACGGCGGAGATCAAACCCCAAGAGAAGTCATAGATCCCTCTAAGACCTGATACAGTACAGGGGCAAGAAAACATCGTATGGGGGGTGCCTTGATCATTAGAGTGTCTGAGGGGTACAGCATGATTTCGTTGTACTGCATTTCGGAACCTTGAGGAGCAGTCTAGTATAACAGTTTCTCATTTTCGAGGACCCCCTTGCTACTGGGAACCTCCCACCGAGGCCAAGAAGCGGAGGTGGCCCTTTTCACTGAAGAGCGGCTGGTGAAGCCCGGAAACCTTGGGTTCGATTCCACCAAGGGTTTGGGGTCAAGACGGTGTGAAGGGGTGTAGGATTCAGGGTTGAGGGTTCAATTGGGGGGTAAGTTTAGGGGCATTGAAAATTCGAGTTTTCTGAATGCGGGCATGGGGTTTGCCAGATGACTCGAACGAAAAAACTAGCAAGCCTCCATGCTCTCTATCATCATACTGAGAGTTTTTCTCCAGACGAATTGCGACAGGGACAAGTCTCGGGAAGGATGTTGACAGCTTGGCCCTTGCATGGATCCGGGGAGTCGGCCTCAGAGCCTGAATGTTGCAAGGTTTCGAGGAGGAAGCCGAAAGAAGAAATCCAAAATCCTAACCGCACGAAGCCCCGATTCCCGGAACCGTCAAACCAAACACTCCCACCCCAGCCCCATCGCCCTGAAGTCTGTGAGTCAGTACGTCGAAATGGCAAAAGCCTCTTGTCCTGCCAAGCCAAGAAGCGACGTGCGCTTGAAGCTGAAGGTGACCTGCCACCAACGAGACACAGAGAGAGATAAAGAGAGAGAGAGAGAGAGATAAAGAGAGAGAGAGAGAAGAGAGCAAGACAGACAGAGAGCGAGAGAGAGGGAGAGTCACAGGAGTCACAGTGGAGGAGGGTAGGCACTACCCGGGCACGACAACTTTGAGGCTGCAGCTCTAGAAAGGGTGGGGCTAGAGACATTGGCCCAACATCCAGCACAGAAGCGCCTGATCCTTCGGCCTTCGCAAGGAGCCGTGCACGCGCGACGCAAGTGGTGATGGGACGTTGTACCTGACTGAAGTTGGGATTAGGATCCCAGCTCGGTTTCGAGGGATGTAGATTATCGTCCAGCAAGTTCCCTGCAATGCCCTGCAACCCCCAAAACGCATCCCATGAGGAAGCCCGGCAAACCGAGAGCTGCTCCCCAAACGAAGAGAACCGCTGGGATACGCCGAGAACTTTGGTACTTGTAGGCCCTGAGATAAGCGAACTTTTTGCCATTCGGGCACCGGCCCGACTGCTGCTTGAAGGCAAGGCCGAGGTCGGTCCGCTCACGGCAGATCTGAGGCGTTCTTGGGAGGCTGATCTCTCTCTCTCTCTCTCTCTCTCTCTCCGTTCTCCTTTGTATATAACTGTGTGTAGACTATATGTACAAGAACGAGCTTGAGAAGTAGCGGTTTCTTAGTGTTTCTCGGGTTAAGGCGGGGCCCGGAAACTTAAACTGGGAGTCTCGCCTCTGAACCTTCGTATCTCCAAGGAAAAATCCAAGACCGTAAAAATCGAACCTTGCACCCTTCCGCTCCCACCCCCGCCCTCGGAAAAGAAAAGGATCGCCCCTCCGAGGCAGGAACCGCATCACTCAGCGTCGGCTCGCCGAGCTCCGCGGCGACTGCAAGGCCTTCGGCTCAGCTTGGTGTCTGAAGGTTCTGAGTTTCGGGGGTTTGGAGTTCAGCGCTCAGGCTTCAGAGTCTGCGGCTTTACGTGCGTGCGAGCAACCCCATGCAGCCCCCTCGTTTTCGTAGTTCGACTGCAGTTTCTGGATTGCTTATGTGGTTTCGACCGGTAATGTTTCTGGATTGCTTATGTGGTTTCGACCGGTGATGGCAGTGCCATTACCCTGTACCCCATCCACCCTTACCTTCATGCTGCTCGCTGTGCCCTCACAGCAATCATCTGGCTCCAGATCCTCTTCCCTGTACTGCATCATAATGCAAAACACACCCCCAGTGCTGAAGCATGCGGCTGGAGCCCTGGCCCCTACAGCTTCGGGGCTTTGTCCACGTGTTTGTGTTCCCGGCACTCACCGTCGGATCCAGAGGTTACGGGCGAATCACGTGATGTGGGTGTTCAGGCTCAGGGATCCATGCAAGGGCCGGTTTTGGAGCTCTGCCAGTGGCGATTTGGGCCTTTAGGCCTTCCAGCTTTGCGGCATTTCTTCGGGCCGTGTCGGAATTCCCCCTACAGATTCGCACGAGACACTGAAGCCTCTTGCCGAAACAGCGGTTCCATCCCAGAATGCCGAGTGCTCACTGTGACTGGAAGCTGAGCTCATGTGTCAAAGAACACCCAAGCATGGCATTCGTCTGTACAGGGCCCTCCCAGCAATGCCCACAATTCAACGAACGAGCTACGCACTGCTTCGCACTCATGGCTATCGCCTCACCTATCGGTTTGTGACTACCGTCATGTTCGCAGATCCCGGGCAAGCTCGGGTCGCCCCCAGGGCCCCTTCTCCCACACAAGCGCCCAGGAAATCACAGAAACACTCGAGGGCCCGGCCAATGCCCATGGCCCTGAGAAGCCGGAAGCGGAGATGGATAAAAATTCCCGGGCTAATTGAAGCAGACTTCCCCCGCCATCATGATACTACAAACTGGAGAAGGGTCATTCAATGCTATTTCCCTCTGGGGCTGCCTCTACCAAGACTCAGAACTCCCCCTCCTGGAAGTACAGAAGCTTGGTCGAGGGCTGTTTGCGGCTCGGAGCCATGGTTTTGAGGGGCTGAGGGCTTCCCGCAGTTTGGAGGAGTTACACACCAGAGAAATGGAATCCGAGGAGACCCGGGTCCTTTTCAGGGTTTAGGCCCTTAGGGCTCCAGGGCTTTGGGGTTTCCAGGATTGCAGTTTGTAGTCGCTTGAAGCAACAGATGATCACGATGACCCGACCAGTGAGCACCACCCTAGCAACAGCAGCAATGCGATAACAACAACACCTTCGTCATACTGATTCCGACTTGACAGAATCTGAAGCCCAGATGACTGACCCTGCAACAACACGAAGGACAACAACAGTATACAGCTCCAAGAGTAACTCCCCGACGAACAGTGCACCCGGCCTTTGCAACGAGGCGTCGCAGCCGAGGATTCGCGCTCCGCGCAGCGCGCGGTCCCGGGGGAGGCCGGCCTCTTTGTGAAGAGAGCGTGGGGAATTTGGGGGGTTGTCTAGATCCCGCCCACCACTGCAAACCCCTGAGCCCTAAGTCCATGACTCTCAGTGGGCCAAGTACTCAAAAAGCTGAACCCCTGGAACCCTGAAATCTTTCTCTAGATCAAGCAAAACCCCGAACCCTGCACACGCCCAAACGCCAGCCGCCAGCCGACCTCGAGTGAAGGGGACATGCAACGCGGGAGCACGGCCCGGCTCGCGGTGCTTGCGTCGAAGGAGAGCTGCCACTCTAAGGCCTGGAAACGAAAGAATTGAACTGAAGGCTTTTCGCATGGCTTGCGGGCTTCAGGGCTCTTTTCGAGGCTTCCTGATCCTGCAGAGACTGGTGACCATGACCATCGTCACGATCGGAACGCTCATCCTGGTATTCACCGCCCCTTTTCTCTGAATAGCAGACCCTATCAAACCGTAAACACCCACTCCCTAAAGCCATAAACTAAGCAGCAACACTTCCACGGAGGCCGGCCTCTGTGCCTCTTGCTAGGTTTGGATGAGTAGAACCGGGTGGTTTCATGTATGGACTATCTCTCGGGGACACTATAAGGATTCTTACTAGCTGCAACCAGCTGCGACTAGCTCAGACCCAGCATTCCCTCAGCGAAAGGCCTTCTGGCTGGCGTCCGGGTCCTCCTGCGGTTGCGCAAGGTTGGGATGGAGGGTGTGACAGAGCTATCAGAAAATCAGGGTTCAAGCAGTCCAGGACAAGGTTTGGAGATGTCTGCACTGAGACGAACTTGCAGAGGTGGCTACCTTTTCAGGATCAGAGTCACAACTCCAAGGAGCAACGATCATGATGATCATTCTACAGTAACAGTCGTCATTGTGATCAGGGTTCTTCCACTTGTCGTTCTCGGCGCGGATCTTAGGTGAGACTCTTCGAGAAGTGCGTCCTCATCGAAGTACACTTCCGAGGCCGAGATGAGGGGAGGACGGTCCAAATCCTCGGAAACCACAGAAACCCAGTAAGCAGCGGCTCACGAGTGCTCACCACATGCAATGTCCATGCCGATCTTGGAACCCTCAAAGCGACAAGACAACGACCTGTTTAGAGTGGCCGTCGGGCACAGCTCTGAATTTCTACTTAGTGCTTTTCCGCCCTGTGTATGTGCTTCATGCCGCACCAATGCATCCAGCCTGGGAGAAGTCTTGCACGCACGTCTTTCGGCGCACGGCTGGCGAGCCTGGCAATTTGCTGCAACATGAAAACCTGCATGCAAGGTCCAGGACCGAAGCTCTGTTCTCTCGAACCGCGATCATCAAAACAACTACGATTGAAATCAAGCAAAACGTTGCACGAAGGAACCCGAACGAAACCTTGGCAATGACCGCGATCGCAATTCTCCGAAGTACTTAAACAGAAACAACCTTCAGGAAACGTAAAAACCAAGCCTTGCCCCAGAACCTTCAATCATTTACATAAATTATGCACGTGCTTTAGATTATGTGGGGCTTGCGGCGCGTGACTTCGAGTTTGCGTTTCGGCTCCGCGGCTTAGCATTTTCTGCAGCACGAGCCACAGCCCCGATAAAGCGATCGATCGGGGGCCATCCTCACAAAAGGTCTTGTGAGGTCAGAAGCTGCGAGGTTGAGGAGGAGAGCTGACGGCTGGGGTTTGGGGTTTAGAACTGATCGAATGAAGGGGTGCACAGCTGCTTGTCGCTGAAGGGAAATACCTTGCTCGGCGACCACTCGTGGGGCACTGATTTGTACAAAAAAGGAATGAACAAATCTCTTTCTTGGGGTGCTACCGATTAAGTCAATCGCCACTTCGCCCCGTTATATGTTGTTCGAAACCTGATCGCCCCAATACCCCCACAATTTGCTGTTCGAATCTAATACCCCGGCATGTCATGCAACCTCATACCATCACCACTCCATCACCACAGTGCCCTATCCATATCCTCACGAAAAAGCGCCAGGCGGCATCAGCGTCTTGCAGGTCTGGAACATTGTACGTTACAACCTTACAACTGAGATCCTTGTTGGAAGCAGACCAACCGCGATCGACTTCGTTTCAATCGCAATGCCTAAACCAATTCCGCAACCAAGCGGCCGGCTTTTTGGAATGAGCCCATCCTGCGGCATGATGGGCGGCATTGGATAAATGCAACAGTATGCACTAATAGGTTTTGCAAACATTGTTGCAACGATCACAACAGACACTACCTGTACCGGACCAATCGCAACAAATACTAGCCATGATCATGATTTGTAATGGTCTGATGCAACAACAACAACAATAGAAGCAGCGGCAGAAGCAGCAGCACTAGCAGTAGCAGTAGCAGTAGCAAAGCAGTAGCAATCGCGATGGCAGTGGCAATGGCATGGCGGTGGCAGGAGCAGGCGCAGGGAGCAGCAGCTGTACATGCATATGTTTGGTGCAGACATGAGGAAGTCGAAGCCACTGTTTGTGCGTGGATGATTTCACGCACACTTGTTGTTGGTTGCAGAACAAAGGTACGTAGGACAATTAAGGGAGCCCATGCGTGCAGTGCTTGTGTGTGTACGACTGCGTACACATGTGTCTCACGGTCCCGTTTACGGTGCTTGTTGGCATGACTGCACACATGTGCGCGTTGCAGAGAAGCAAAAAGGCCTTGGTCGCGGTTTTGGCATCCTTGGTAGAACGCGCGCGCGCGCGTGCGCATGAACAGGTGTGCTGAAGCTTGGAACCCCTGCCTGGTCACAGCCCCGCTTGTGGTGAAAATGCATCTGCGATTGCGCGTTGCAGGTGCAAGCAGCGTGGCTACGATTCGGCTTCGGTTGCAGATTCAGATGTATGTGTGAGGAGAACAACTTGGGTCATGTCGAAACCAAACCAATTGGTCGCCGACTGCCTGCAGCGATTGCGCACACGTGATTGCACATGGGTCTGTGTTGCAGAAGCCGCGACTCCGCTGTCACGCGTCTGTTTGCGATGTCTGCACGCATGCGCAACCGTCCGTGTGTTGCAGAAGCAGCTGCACCGCGTGGTCACGATTTCAATCGTTGCGGTTGAATGACCGGGGTCATGTGCTTTCACCACAGTTGTTGTACACTAGCAACGAATACGTGGTTACGGCGATGTTGTGTCGATGTGACAATTGACAGATGCACATGTCTGACCCACATTTCGCGCAACACACACACGTTTGGAAAACGCAACCACCGCAAGCGGAACTATGATAACGGCCCCTAAAATGAAAAATGCACACACTGATGGATTCGGCCAAGAGTACGAGTGCAAGAGGAAAAGAGAGAGGCATGTTGTTCATGTTGCAAAGTTTTGTCAGATTGTGGCAACCGTACAACTTGTTTGTCTAATCTGGACACCACAGGGGGCCTGTCCTCAAAACTAATCTTGGCACCACAGGGGGCTGCCATGCAGGTACACAGGACTGATCAGGTCCCGCTTCCCACTTGCATCCACAGCTTCGTTGAGTGTGGTAGGACGCAAGTGCCACACTCCCCTGCAACAGTTGATTTGGTAAATGTCCAATGCCGGATTATGTTGAAAAGCGAAATTGCAAACAGTGTAGGAGTGACCCTCTGCTCCCATGTGCTAGGGAGGTTCACACACACACAGCCCCAATGGGGCGTACATGCTTCAAGTAGAGTGAAAGGTCTGATGCGCGGCAATAGGAGTGAATGGCGCACTTTTCTCGCTGTCAATAGCGATCGGGTGATTGTCGTATTTCCTGATCCGAACAGGTTCTAACAAAAAGCACCGGCATCAACGTGGCTAATGTGGTGACTGAATCCCAATCATGTAGTCGTCGACGGTTTTGTTCGAAGAAGAAAGCTGGGATTTTAGGAGTTCTGCCGGTGATCTCCTTGATGCGGTAGGAGAAGATCTTGCGAGCTTGGAGAACGTTGTCACCCAGACAAAGCACCACGTGTAAGAACATGTGCTTGTCTCTGGTGATGCGGTCGGGTGGAATTTCAACAGTCATCCGAAAACATTGTCCTGCCATGGAGTACCATGGAAGGCCGGCCTCGGCAGCCTTTCGCTTTGTCATATTTTTGCTGCTACCAACCGACAAAAGCTTGAACAAGGAATGCAAATCAACATGGACATGATGTGTGCTCTGGCAAAACAACAAAGTGGTGTCGTCCTGACACTCGCATGCGCAGGCTTTTTGTCACGCTTAGCGGATCTTGCAGCCCTAATCCGTCCTGAGAATTAGGGTCCAACAGCGAGTTTGTTGGGACAGTCACTCATGATCTTGAAATGGCATCGACACCTAAAACCTGCACGTACCAGCATTTTTGCACAAGCGGTTTTGGACCGCTTGTGCTGAATAGTAGGATGCACAATATCGTAAGGTGCAATCGAGTCAGAAGACCAAGGATCTCGAGATGGAGACCGGTGTGCGTCCTCAGCCATGTGTGACGTTGCCGTAGGTGACGCTGATGATGTTGAATGCGAAGAGCGTGTCCTCTTTCGTCTTGTAGTATGTGGATGTTGGCGTCGTTGCTGTGTTGTGGATTGGGATGGTGGTGAGATGTTGCGTGTTTTCTTTGTTTTCATGACTGTTTTGTCCTTTTTGTCTTTGTTGTCTTTCTTCTTTTTTGTCCTCGTTGTGTGCTTTGTTTTTTGCTTGTGTGTGTGACTGACTGCATGGGAGGATGTGGTGGTGTCATCCTTCCTCAGGAAGGCATCAATCTCTTCGGATCCCCATAGGCTGCTGTCGTCGTCCTCGTCCATCTGTGTGCGATCCTAAATATGTTTCAGCAACTGTAGTTCTGAGAAATGGCTGCGGAGTCACAACTGCATTGAGGCATGTGCATACGCTGATCTTCAGAGAGAGAGAGAGAGAGGTACACAGAGACATCAATTGAGCAACCTCGCCGACCGGCATGACCTTTCAACATGATGCTCTTAATGTTGAACCTCATCAGGAATGATGGAGTTCGCAGCACAGCTTTGCTGTGTGGTTGTTGGCTGCCGGGGGCAGCAAATGTGCATCTAATTGTCAACTCAGCAATGTTGCTCACGGAGTTCTTGACCGCTTTCTCTTGTTGGATGTAGGAGTTGATGTAGTAGATACTGTCTCCTTTTGGGTAGGAGTCGTTGATGTCGGACGCTGATCAGGTTGCTCCGAATGCTTTCGTATCCACTCTTGAGATGCGATAAAGTACTCACGCCACCATGAAGAGCCGTTAGTGGCCCAATGCCATCTCCATTGTGATG